TGTGTGCAGGTTCATTATGGCGTACTTGAAGCAGTTGCATGAAGACTTGAAGAAGCACTTCATCAACGACGGTGCCGCGGGGTCAAACCCGGATAAAGGTTCGAAGCACTGGGTCTGCAAGTACTACGAGACCCGGTTCGATGGCACAGCCTCGGCTCTAAAGAACCATTTCTTGAATAAGTGCAGCTTGGACCACGTCAGGAGGCCGCTGTCAGTCGAGGAGAGGGCTAGGAGGGACAAGGGTATCCGCATGGGGAAGTTCATTGCGGAGACCATACACGCGGGGGGGAGAAGCAGGCCGGCCACAAACAGCCTGGCGTCCGTTAGTAGTCTGGTCGCTGACGCCGAGCGAGGTCGCACTGACTCGCCTGGAGGGGCGGAAGAGGTGGTTGTGGCTGATGATCCCGCCGCGATCACGCCGGCCTCTGGCGAGTCGTGCAGCCTGCACCCTGTTCCAAACGGCCGCTGAGGCAGACGGTCATGGAGGAAGCCGACAACATCGTAACACGCAACGAGCACACGAGTTGGTTCCTTGACCGATTTCTTTTCTGCACAAACTAGCCGTTCAGCATCGTCGACAACGAATACTTCCTTGAATTCGTTGATGTTGTGAAGAAGGCGCATCCTTCGTGCATGCCATACAAGAGGGATGACGCGCGGACAAAATGGTTGGATGGTCATTACGGAAGGACGAAGGTGGACGTGCACGCCATGGTGAAGAAGTGGCACTGCACCGGTTGCATGCTGCAGATGGATGGCTGGTCAGACAGGCGCAACCGGCCGTACATTAATGTGATGGTGTCATCCCCGATCAGAGCGGTATTCTGGAAGACCACATGCATGGAGGGGAAGGACAAGGATGCGGCGGCGTACTTCCAGATATTGGATGGAGTTATCAAGGAGATCGGCGAGGAGGCGGTGGTGGGCGTTGTGATGGACAACGCGAGAGTGTGCGTCAAGGCTGGCAAGATCGTGGAGGCACCCTACCCACGCATATTTCGTGTGGGGTGCACTGCACATGCCCTCGATTTGGTACTCGAGGACATGTACAAGGAACTTGAGTCAAGTTGAGTGGTTGCGCAATGTTGTGGACGCAGGGTTGAAAGTGGGCAAGTTCTTCCACAACGTGGACAAGGCAAAGGCGTTGTTCCATGTGTACAGTCCGAAGTCCAAGTTGAAACGGCCGGGGGTGACCCGTTTCGCAACCAACCACGAGATGCTTGCTTCCTTGGAGAAGGCCAAGAACCCGTTGAAGAAATGCATCGACGACGCTGCGTGGGTGGAGAAGATGGTCATGACGGACCAACTCGCTGCGTTCCACGAGGTGACGGCCATTGTGTTGGGGAAGGAAGAGTTCTGGGCGACGGTCAACAAGGCGCTGGCGGTGATGGGGCCAGTAGTGACGCTCCTTCGTCTTGTTGATGCGCCGGGGCCGTCCATGTCGAAGGTGTATTTCAAGATGGACTTGCTCGTCGCACGGATGCATGAGCTTGATTGCATCACGGCGGGCAAGAAGGTCGAAATAGAGGACATCTTGATGCGGAGATGGACATTCATGACCAGCGAGCTACATTGCGCTGTTGCGTTCCTCGATCCGGAGCACCGTCACATGAATGCCTTGCGAGATCCTGAGGTGCGCGCCGGATTCAACATTTGGCTTCTCTCGTGGGCGCCGGACGACCAGCAGACACGTGACGAGCTCAACCACCAGGTTGACATGTGGGTTAACCTGGACGGGTCGTTCAAATCGCAAGACGCTGCGGAAGCAGCACGTGTGCAGCCCGTGGCTCTGTGGTGGGAGGCTTACTGCGGGAAGTTGGACCTGCTCCAGCCACAAGCAGTCAAGTTGCTGGGCCAGGCAAGCTCCTCCGCCGCATGCGAGCGGAATTGGAGCTTGCACGAGCTTATTTTCGGGCGCAGGCATACGAAGTTGCCGCCAGAGAGGCTGGCCAAGTTGGTGTACAGCAACTGGAACACCTAACTGTCGTAAGCGGCCTTGCGGGGAGACGGGGGGGATGTGCACATTCCATGGGAGGACGACACGCCGGTGGAGGCAGAGATCAGGGAATGGTATAACACATGGATAGAAACGGCCATTGATCCCGCTGCTGTTGCCGCCGATGCCGATGTGGTGGCAGAAGACGTGGAGGTGGGTGAAGAGGACGGTTCGGAGCTATTGATGCGGACGTGGCAGCGAAATGATGTCGCAGATGATGAGGAATGCGACGAGGAGGACATGGCTCTGTTGGGTTCGTTGGAGAGGGAATGGCACAAGTGCACGAAACCCGGCCGTCGCAGAAAGCAAGACCTACGGAGAAGATCTGGCAGCTCGCTGCCCCCGCCATCAGTTGTGTACGCTGAGGCGGATCGGGCGGCTGCACTTAAGGCACGACTGGCAGGCACTTGGGTGGAAGGTCGACGGGAGTCAACCACCAGGGAAAAGCGTGTGAGGAAAAGAGCACGAGCGGCGGGCGAGGCGGGAGGGGCTGAAGCTGCAGTGTGCGTGACCCATCCAAAGAAGAAGAGGGGTTGACCATCGTTGGCTGAAGCTGCAGCAAAGAAGGCTGAGCTGGCAGCAGCCAGGGCTGCTAAAGCAGCAGAAAAAGCGGCCGCAGCGAAAGCCGCGGCCGACAAGGCACGAAAAAAAAAAACAAGGTTGCCTCCGTCGATGTGATCGAGGACGACCCGTCAGGGAACGATGAGTCCTCGTCCAGCTCGTCCGAAGACACGCATGAGGGAGATAGCGGAGAGGAGTCCGATGAACACTCTTTGCAGGACCGGGGAGCGGAGGGGGAGGACATGGAGGGATCCGAGGCCGGGTCCAAAAAAGCAATTGTGAAGAAAGCGGAGATGAAGGGACGAAGGTGTAGGACGGGGGCTGACAGGATGCGGGGTGTAATAGTTTTGGATTCTGCCCATTGTTGGAGTTTTCTTTGCTGAACTTTGTTTCTGTGTTTTTTTGAAGTTATTTCCTTTTCTGTGCTTTAATAAACTTGCAAACGACTATTGGCCCAATTCTGAACTTTTTCTGAACTTTTTTTGAAGCTAGTTTGTTCCCGGCTCATTTGTCTTTTTTAACTGCTGTCAGTTTGCAAAGGTCGTGTCTTGCCTTTCCTTTTCTGTGCTTATAGTGGTCTGCTGGTGCTATCCCCATCATCGTCTGTTGAATGTTGTGCATGTTATGCCATGTTGCTGTCTGGTCCGTCGCTGTCAATGGATGACACCTGCAGGTATGTTCTTTTCCGACACCCTAGGCTCTGTTTTCGAATTGTGTTCTGCTGCTTCTGCAACTTGTGCTGCAACGTTGTCTGAATGTGTACATCAACCTGTCTAAATGTGCTTGTTCAACACTGTTGATATGCTGTTCGTCCGAGTCCTCCAAGTCAGAATGTGCTGCACGCTGTCTGAACGTATGAAGCATGTGGGAGGACGACACAAGTCACAGAGGTCTGCAGACTCTGCACAGTTGTCCAAACCCACGCACGGACCCCACACCACAGCTGCGTGGACATAGAATGCCCCACCTCCCCTCCCCCCCACAAAAAAAAAACAAAAACAAAAAAACAGGCCGGCGCATTGCGCGCACCACCCCCAACGCTGTCCCGCACAAGCGCGCGCAGCGCATCACAGAGCAGCGCATGCGCAGATGCGCATGCATGCGCGCACATGTGCAGGTATGCAGAACCTTCCGACCCGCGCAGCGCACGTCCGCATGCGCAGCGCATCGTGCACAGCTGCAGTGCTCCGCAAGTATGAAAAAAACCCTTCGGTGGGCAGTATAAGGACTGGACACCACTGCCTGGTCCCTTTAAAAAAAAAAAAAAAAAAAAAAAAAAAAAAAAAAAAAAAAAACANNNGGGCAGTATAAGGACTGGACCCCACTGCCAGGCGGACGCTTTCCAGGCGGAAAGCTTCCGCCAAACCGACCCAAATCGTAGGCCCCGGCGATGGGAAACAGAAAAGCGGACCCCACAAATTTTTGGCAGGTCCGTCGTTGCTGGTTACCCGATAGGGGAAACTTTCCCCATACAGAAACTTGACATCCGCTTGTCGCGGTGCTCGTCCAATCCCTGGCTCTCTGTTCCACATGCTACGTGCAAACTGAGGGGGGTGCCCCCCCCCCCCCCGGCTCTACCCCGTCACGATGGACAAACTGCAAGGAACGGGCAAAACCAAACTGAGCGGAAATGCTTGCCACGCCATTTGTCAGTGTTTTCTGAAGCTTTGCCGCAAAGCAGTGTGGTCTCACAAATCGTCTTCCAAAGCTTTGCACCGCAAAGCAGTGGGGTCTACCTCTAACTGCTAAAGGGGTTGGACCCGATTGGTAAGAGCATCGGAGCATCGCCCAGTCCCTTGAATGTTGTGGAACCGTGCTTCTTTAGTGTTTTTGTTTTTGTTTTTTTGTGCTCAGTGAAATTGTAGTTGGGTTAGTGGAAACCAGTAGAAGGGAGGAGGGCAGGAGACGAGGGTGTGGGAAAATCTTCTCTTCTTACATCTCATTATTGACTTGGTCAATGTAAACCTCTTTTTTTTTTTTTTTTTTTTTTTTTTTTTTGGAGCTACTTCAGACCTTTTTTTTGGAACTTCAGAGTTAGACAATATTCAGAAAACGACTCGAGAATCCACCATCAGTCCTCCTTACCTCACTCCGGCAAGACTTACTGCAGCAAGGCCACCATCTTTACTGCTGCTATGCCCTATTTCTGTCCTACCAGCTAGCCCCTTCACTAGTAGAATGCGTGATATCTTTCTCTCTCTCACCTCAGTCCCTTTTTTTCCAGAGAAATTTATGTCTGAATTCTTTTACTACACAACCTAGTTGTTGAGAAAGACGAAAGGAGAGCAGACAAGCCACGCTAACACCAACAAACAAACTACCCACACACCAGGTGAAGAAGGCCGCAGACCCAATAATCGGTCCTCGAACCTAGACGCAGCTGATCTCAAGCCCCCCTATGCTAGGTGACAGGGCACCGCCATGCCCCAGCCCTGATCAGCCTGGTATAGTCGGCAGGAAGTGTCTTCCACCCTTGACACTCCCTGTAGCCGCAATGCCCCTGAGGTGACAGGGATAAACCCCGGCAACAGCTACGTTGGACGGGCTGGTTTCTGCCTTCCTCCCTCGACAGAACTCCCCAAGCCTCATGTTCCCTCGGGCTCCCTCGGGTTACAGAGCATTCCAAGCGCTCCAGCACCGGCCTGCGTCGTCCCAGCCCCGCCCTCCTGACCTATACCCAGGGCCTACTGCCCTTCCCTGGTGCCCCCCCAACAAAACTACTACCCCTCAGCGCAGGCCATCGTCCGTCCCTCTTCGATTTTTTCCGGACTCTCACTTTCTTCACAGCTACAAATGATGATGATGCAACTGATGATGGTGAAAAATTAGAAGGACTGTGCTATACCAGCAATTCTGGCATCCTAATCCTGGAACAACACCTAGCCCTCCCTATACCAGAATATTGCAACTTCAGAGACAAGACCAACCCAATATTAACTCAATATTAATTATTCTTTCTAATTATCTTCAGTGCAGGACTCCATCATCCACATAGCAAACTTGTGTCTGCTCTAAATTCAGTTTATCATTACGGCATTGAATTTCACGCCCCTTTTCGAAATACAATTTCCCAAATAGTCCCCTCGCTAAATTTTTCTGTAGAGCCATTCTGACATCATCACCACCGTCATCACCATCATCTGCCTACAAATCGTTATTTAGTATTCTTCATCACTATCATCTAACCAGTTGATTTCTCCTCACTGGCTTTTGAGTCAGATTTGGCGAGAAGGTAAGTGGATTAAAGGTGGGGTGAGCTCTACTCTACAAAGGAAGCGCAAG